TCTTTTCTGGGCGTAGTCATTATTTTCTCCCTGTTCGAAATTTAAAGTGATACATAGCAAAAATCAATGAAATGTAACCTTATAAACAATTTATTAGACTACTTTTCATTAACGCATCTGATTAGATGCATAAAATAACTAACATCAAAGTTTCAACAAGCTCGAAACTTTACAATTATAGAAAGTGGTCTTTCCATTTTTCTGCTTCGTCAACCAGAATCAGGAAAGCAAAAAACATTTACATAATGAAGCTTATTGAATACCCATGAATAAATGTAGGTAGAAGAACATCCACCATTTCCAGAACAAAGAAGAGTGCAGAAAATATTGAACCTTGTTTTCAAAGCAAGCTTCCTCATTCGTATCCGCATTTGGGTCATTTTAGTCAATCGTTGCTTTGTTTTGTGTACAAGTATCTTAGGCCAATACATCTGTCAGAGGGCGTTAAATATAGGTTAAAGACTTCATAAATTATAATCAAACAGATAAAATAAGAAATGAGTAAGATGCATACTTACCAAATGTTTATCTATAATTTCCAGTGCCTTTTCATAATTTCTTGGCAACTTAGCTCTTTCCCACAACTCATTTGGCTTATGAGCTCTTTCAATTGTTTTCATATAAAGATAGAAAACCCCTATATGAACAAGAGAATAACATTTTCTTATTTGAATGAAAACCTTTTGTTAGTTGTTTCTCAACTATAGACAATACACGATATAAATGATTTGTTATAATAAGGTATCAAACTAATAGTAGCTTTCCAGAAGGTATTAAAGAACAAGAACAAGCCCGTATATTTATTATATACAACTTTTTTTCTTAACATATTTGTTCTTATAACCTAAAATCCCATAAAGAAATTGTTGAACAATACAAGTAGCACGCACTAAACTACCATGAACGAAACCTGAGATCTAAATGCAAATAATGAGGAGCAGGAAATACCATCATGGTCGCGAATAGTAGCATAGCGACTGTTAGCCAGAGGACATGAACTCCGATTACATATCCCAGTTACATTATAAGGGTTTCTACAGAAGTTCCCAGTTGTAATCCTACGGAAGCATCAAAACCAGTTATACTTTTGAAGGAGAAAAGCGTGAAAAAAACTATGAAATAAGAATTGTATAAAACTCTATAAAAAGGTAAAACTCACTTGGCCATGAAGCTGCAGTGATTGTGGCGGATGACCTGCCATATTACTTCGTCGTGCTGCATTCTTGACTAAAAAACTTACGAAATAATAACAAATGAAGGTTGTGGTCAGTTGAATATTTATCCCTGTTTGAACACTTGAGTTTGAAAGGAATTCAAATCCTACATGTTTGGATGATAGGTCGGATTTGCCAGGATTATAAACTTAAAGCGAGTTCATATGCTTTAATTGTTTCTTCTATAATCAAGCAAACTCAATTTATAACTAATAACAGCAATTTCAATCTCTTCAAATACAGCTTTTCTATTCTTTTATAAAAGCAACCAAACTACAGGTGAGTTTTCTTCTGCTTTGTTCATCTTCTTTAACAAAACCTATCTCTATTCGTTCGTTTAAATAGACTGGTTGAACACTAGTTGAAGAAATCAACAAAAAAGAAATGTTTCTAGATTTTCTTTACAGTAGATGAACAGAGCAAACCAATAGAAACTAACGAAATAAAATAAAATAAATCAAAACCCTTGGAGATCTTAAAGATGAGTGGCAGCAGCGCGATCTTACCTACGGCGCGGGTCAGGGGCTGAACCACTGTGTTTCTGAGAAAAGTGGCCGAGATAAGTAAATCCGATTGCTCGGAAAGGCGAGAGAGTGTGAGAGGGAGGGGCGGCGAAGATTTAGTCCGAACGCTGAGATTGCATCAGCTGAGAGTACAGCGTGCGGCAGCAGCCGCTGAGACGGCGCCGGGCGGGAACGGCGTGCGGCGGGGCGTGGTGCAGTGGCTGAAACTGGGAGAGCGCGGGGAAACGACAGAACGCGAAAATAGGTTTACGAACAGAGAAAGATTGAATAGTTAAAAAATATAAAAAATAGTGGACCGGTTTTTAAATGACAAAAACATGTTATTTTTAATTTTTGTGTATAAATATTTTTTTTTTATTTTTTAATTTTGTTATATAAATTTAAAACTCTAAACCTTTCATTTTGTCTTTAACATCAAATTATTAATTTTAAAAATTAAGAAATTAAATAGTCAATTAAATTTGTAATTTAACTTATAATTTTAAAAAATAAATAAGTATTTAATATTGAATTGGTCAAAAATGTGTATTATATTATATTAATAAATAACAACCAAGGGGCAACATCGTAATATTACTTTATTTTTTCTATGCCACAAAATTTATCCTTATTGTAGCTTAGTCTTTATATTTTGATTAAATTGCATTTTTAGTCTTATCTTTGATCAAATCTAATATTAATTTTTTTATCAATGTAATGTTTTTTTTTCTTCAAACTTCTCTGGTATAAAAAATTTATAAAAATATATTTATAATTAATATTGTATTTTAAAACACATACATATAGAATTAACCCACTTTAGTTTTATTTTAAAAACGTTCAATTTCTTTTAAGAATATTTTTATTAATTTAACATTTTATTTTGTTTTGTTTTTTTAAGAAACCACCAACATAGAATTCATTCGATTTTAGAATTTTAGAATTTTCATTAAAAAAAATTAATAGAGGAAGTGCTACTTTTAGGTGCAACGGGAATTTCTTTCATGTTCCACTAATAATAATTATGGAAACATTAATTAAATGATAGGAATGGTAAACGTGATTAATAGTTTTTTTTTTCTTTTTTCTTTTTTTTTTTTAAATTTCCCTTTCCAAAATGTTAATTATTGTAAAGAAAAAAATCTTCATCTAACCATCTTTTAAAAGATAATTTTCTATGATTTAATAAATCTATAAAAAAAATTATTTTTTATTTTGAGTGTTTGAATATTGTTGAAATATTTAATATGAAATGATAATTTTTTAAAATATAAATAAAATAATAAATATCATATTAGTAGGTAGGAGGAAGGATGGTGAAAGAGAATGGACTATAAATAGTGACATTAAATTACTTTTATTCACGCCCAAATTCATTTAATCTTTTTTTATTTGACAAATTTGGCCATGTTTTTTATTTTGTTTTCATTTTTTTCAAATAACATTTTCGTCCATTCACACACACATCTTTATTTTCCACCCAATAATGATTTCACACCATTATTGAAAATTATAAACTCATTTTTATATTATGACTATTTATTGGGTAGAAGTTTTCATACTCTCGTAAGAAATGCTTCGTTTCTCTCTCCAACCGATGTGGGTTTTCACAATCCGTCCCCCTTGGAACCCAGTATTCTCGCTAGAAAACCGTCTGGTGTCTAACTTTGATACCATCTATAGTACCCCTAATTTGTTTGGTTGGAGAGGGAAACGAAAATTTCCTTATAAAAGTGTGGAAACTTCTCATTAGTAATGATGTTTTAAAACCTCGAGAAAAATGTCGAAAAATAAAAGTCAAAAAATGACAATATTTACTGGTTGTAGGTTTGAGCGGTTACATAAACGGTTTATAGATAAATTAAAATTAATTAATTAATTATATATATATATTTCTAACAAGTTTTTTATACATGTATAACTTTTTAAAATTATTTTATACATAAGTTTACCTCACTTAAAATAAATATATATGATTTTTGAAATATAATAGGTATAATTAATTATTGAATTTAGTTATTTTATTAATTAAAATCATTTATTTAAGAATAATTATTGGGATAGATTATTAAATAAGAAATTTAATTAGTTAAATTATTATAATAATTTAATTTAAATATTTTTTTTTGTAGTAATTATTTAATTTTTAGTCAAAACCAACCCATTATAAAATTATAATATTAATTTATTTTCAAACCGCTTCAATTATAATATTGAATCCCTTAAAAAAAATTAACATTACAAAATTTATATTAGTCTTACATTTAATTAATGGTTAAATAAAATAATTGTGACAGATAAACAATGTATCTAATATTTTATTTCTTTTAGCTAAATTATTAAAAAGTTTTATTAATAAAATGAAATAAATATTTAAAATATTTGTAGAAAAATTCAAAACTTGTCTAATACTTTTTTCTAGAACAATTGAAATAAACAAAATTATTAATTTTTTTTTCTTCAAATTTGACTAAAATTTTATTATTAACAAACCTTATTAAAATTATTATTATGACCGAGCTTATTTTTCGTTTTTAATTATTAAAAAAAATACATTCTTGATTTGATTTAAAGTTTTTAAAATTAGATTTTAAACAATAAACTTTCGAAAAGAATGCATTTTTATAAAAGTATTTAATCTCGAAAAAAAAATATTTAGTAAATTATGCTTTTCAATGTTTAAAAAGTAAATAATATTATAAATTAAATGATCGATTTTCTATTTAAAGTGGGCCACTAGCTTAAGACATATCGCGAATTAGGGTCATCTAGCTCGACTCTAACCGACTCATAGAGACCCTGGTCAATCAAGTCGTATGCTCGTGACTAATTTCTATAAACTAACCATCACCATATAGCCTAAGTTTAGAAAATCGAGTCATTACAAATTCAAGTATCACTTTTACATTAAAAGTTTTAAGAAAATTTTGAAAATTTAAAAAATGTTTAAGGGTATTATTTTTAAAAAGTTAATATTTTTTAAATATTTTAAAAAATTTAAGGGTATTTTTTTAAATATTTTTAGGATATTATTGAATTTTTAAAATTAAGAATATTTTTAAGATAAGTTGGAAAGCTCAAACTTATTCTTAATAAAAATATTTCACATTTTTCACTAAAAGATGTCATTGGCTACGTAAATATTACGTAATTAATTAATAAATAAATATATAATAAACCGACATAATAAAATTAAAAAAAAATGAAAAATAAAAATAAAGGGTTTGTCTTTATAAATGATATGATGTCTTACCCGCCGTTCACGAATATTCCAACTTCAAAGTGTTGTTGAAAATGATGGAAAATTTCCCAAATTTTCCGACGACTCCATCCTCTTCAACCTCCCTCTCTCTGCAGAAAATGCTGATTTCTCGAGCTTCCGAGCTCGGCGGAATCCATGGAGGTGTCTCCGGTGGGGTTCCTCTGTTGTCGGATGGAGTAGATTTGTCGGAGAAGAAGGAGGGTGTGCCGGCGGCCGGACAGGGAGGTTATGAACAGAAGAAGAAGACGATGAGCCGGAGATTTTCTTTTCAAACAAGAAGTCAAGTTGATATTCTTGATGATGGTTATAAATGGAGAAAGTATGGACAGAAGGCTGTGAAGAACAACAAATTCCCAAGGTATTTATTTATTTATTATTATTATTTTAATTTTAGAACTCAAATTCAATGTGAGAAGTCAAGAATATTTTGTTTCCCTCTTCAACCAATGTGAGATCTCACCGTAGGAATAGTGTGTGATTGCAACCGATATGTGGCGTTGAATGACGAGCAACGTGCGAATGAGCAAGATTGAGACACAACGTAGTGTGCAACTATGAGCATAACCACTACATGCAGGCTAACCATACAGATCGATTTTTTTTCAAATTTTTGGATCGAGTATACACCCGTAATAAAAATGGTTCATTAAACACTAGGCTTTCGATGAATAATGATAGAGATAACATTGTATTGGGTGTTGAATAAAATTGCAGAAGCTACTACAGATGTACACACCAAGGGTGCAAAGTGAAGAAGCAAGTGCAAAGGCTAACAAGAGATGAAGAGGTGGTGGTCACAACTTATGAAGGCATCCACACTCATCCCATTCTCAAACCCACTGATAACTTCGAGTATATTTTGAGTCGTATGCAAATTTACGCTTCATATTGATCATTTTTCAACCTTTATTCAACTCGCGTAATAAATTTTATTATAATTTTTTCTTCGTAAACACAATAAATTTTCCTTTATGTTCATTCGAGTATATAGGGTTACTATGCATGAAATTGATATGCGTTGGACCCAGATGAACATCTAGATGATTTATTGCACATAAAAGTGATAAATATAGAACCAAGTATATGAAACTGATGCACATCTCATAAACCAAAATTTCATGCTTTTAAGTCCTATCATAGTCATATTAGCTTAAGTCATGATTGCATCTCTCGACCCTAATAGGGAGGTCACCTAATTACGTATTTCAATGAAACATTTTCAAGTCAGAGCGTATTACTAACAGTGGTTACGAACGTTAAATATTTTTAATCTTTGGAAAAGTATGTTAGGGTTGAATTGGATTGTTACGTTATCTTTTTATTGGTCTGGTCAACTCTACCAAAAGAATGTCAACCCAACCCAACCCAAACTGAAAAAAATCTAACCCAATATAGAGTTGAGAGTTGGTTAGTCTAGATTGGTTGGATTATAGGATCATGTGAACACCTCTAATAGAGACCGGAAAGAAATCTTGAATTTGTCAGTAAATGTTATAGAAATGCATTTTTTAATATGTTATAATCCCAACTAGTTTGAGTCGACAATTTCATTCAAACAAGTAGAATTTTATTGCACTGGTCTAAGCTTAAGAGAAAAGAAAGTTTTTCTCTCGGTAGATTGCGTGGCAACGCAAGCCAACGTCAACAAAAAGGAGGTGGAGACGGAAGACAGTATTCCAAATCTATGACGGAATTGACCACTAAAGGTTATAATTGTAAATAGATGACGAAAATCAATGAAACGTGTCCTAAAGAAGTTCATTCATGTAGCTATCCATGTATGTAAACAGATATAAGAGCAAGGTGAGAACAAAGACGATGATCATATTCTCAGTCCCGTCCTCATTCAGGTCATAGGAAAAAACTCTCTTATTCAGTCCATTCCGTTCAAAGCCGATAGATAGTTTTCGATAGACGATTATTGGTTAAGCATTATTAATTAAATTCTCAAATACCTTGAAACGTTTGATAAGTGAAGAAAGTTCAAATATTTATAATATTCCAAAGGGCTTTGTCCTTCAAAAGTGGTGGCGTTATATTTACGCGAATTATATAAATAAATAAATCCTTTTAAAATATCCCCAAATCGGACGATTCTACCCCTCTATATTTGTCGATACTATAAATACCCAATTAACCCTTCCCCATTTGCGAACCCTCGGCTAACGCTGTCGTCTCCATTTCCTTCTCTGCGAAACTCGGCGTCGTTTCCAAGCGGGGCGGAAGAAAGTGGGTTTTTGTTCTCTCTTTCCCAGCGGCGGATTTCAACCTTATCGGAATGGATCCCGACGCGGTGGCTAAGGCATTCGTCGATCATTATTACTCCACCTTCGACGCTAATCGAGCTGGTCTTGCTAATCTCTACCAGGACAATTCTATGTTGACGTTTGAAGGTCAGAAGATCCAAGGCTCGCCGAATATTGTCGCCAAGCTTACTAGCCTCCCCTTCCAGCAGTGCCAGCACTCCGTTAGCACTGTCGATTGCCAGCCTTCCGGCCCCACTGGTGGCATGCTCGTCTTCGTCAGCGGCAATCTTCAACTCGCCGGTGAACAACATGCTCTCAAATTCAGTCAGGTATTGCGTTTTTTTAATGAAGATTTTAGCCCGATGCTGGATTTATGGATAGATCTTGGTTGGATCTAGTGTTCTCTTGGAGTTAGCCGATCGATCAGTGTTATTTAGTTGGACTGCTTTGACTGAAATTGTGTTTTGATTCTCTAATTTATGCGTTCGAGGACTTGAAATATCGTTAGACCTTGTTTAATTTGCGTTGTCTTTGTACGTGTAGATCTAGGGGTTTTCATCGGGATTCTATTTGTTACATAGGGATAGCGAGAATGTAGATCAAGCTTGAGATTCTGATATGCTTGTTTTCTTCTTTTCAATGTATTTGGTATTTGGCGGCTTCAGCATGTCTGAGATTATTTATATTTTTCCATAGGGTTCTTATTTCTGAAAAGAAATATTATGGAACAAGTTCAATTGGCCAGCTTTCTGGTTTACAAGCATGAGCCTAGTGAGCAAAGTAGGAAGAAGGTGCTTGATTATTTAACTCTAAGATAGTGCTAAACTGCTAACTTGTTTTAAGTTCATGGTTGCTGTTTTATTTGCGGAGGCTTCTGAGGTGACTAAGAAAGTTTATCCTGCTGTTATGTTTGAACCCAAATGTATATGCTTGTTACAATTTCCTTGGCTTATTGTAATGATATCTGCGAAGTAATAATCTGTGATCGTTATCTGTAATCTCATTGAGAATTTTGTACGTTTAGATATATCATATATAATTTTTGTGGGAATGCAAGAATAATGTTTTTGTATGTTCTTCATTTACTTTTTCTAACTCAAATCCATTTTCAAATTCCACATGGAATGGAATTTATTTTAGAATGATGAATCACAACTGTATTGTTAAAACAAAATATGGAATGATGGTACATATGATGTTATATTTTATATTCTTTGAATAACCATATTAGTGAAAATGTATTGTGTGTAGTGAAATACAAAATACTTTTCTGAATGTTAGTAGCCATTGAAAATGTGATGCACAGGCGTTTCGATTTTCTTGTTTGTATTATTATGAATCAAATTCAATTATGTTAAAATATTATTGGAAGAATTGAGTGAACTCATTGCTAAATTTGAGGATTGAATTAGTTTGTGGACAATTTTCTTTCTTGTTGTGGATCAATTTACTTTTAGTTACTTGAGGATTTGATCTATAGGCTGTACAGTTGTGAGTTCTAAATTACTTTACCCCGTGCTTTCAGATGTTCCATTTGATGCCAACTCCACAGGGAAGCTTCTATGTGCTGAACGACATATTCCGATTGAACTATGCCTGAAGTTGAGAGTAAACTTTGGTATTGGGAGGCCTGAGATGTCAGGTCATTCAACCAGTTTGTTTATCACCTTTCAGTTTTTTGGACATTTCAAATTGGAACTTGGATTATATTTTATTGTGCTTATGCTTCAATGTGTGCCTACTCAAAGTCGAATTTCTTGATTGTCATTGAGTATTGATGAAATAGATGCTTTCTTCAAATTCAAGTGATTTGCTCATACTACTATATGCTATTATACCCGTCGTAAAAATTGCAACTTTGAACTTCTACAGCATGAAAATTGAAATATGAATGACCGAAAATTACAGACATTGTTATAATGCCTGAAAAATTACAAACAACTTGGGATCTTGATGATGCTACTACTGGATTTTGTGGTCATTCAAGTGAAAATCTGGTAGGTTCACATGAGGTAAGGCAGGCAATTCAGTAGCTTCAATCTTATGTTGTATTGCTGAAGTTGTGTTTCTTTTCAGGATTCTAGCCAGGGACTTGAATGGGTTACTCAGCCCATCTCTGAGCTTCAAAATAAAGGACACCTCAGAAACTTGCCAAGCAACGGTGAGGACAACCATGGCGGAAACAAGGCAGTGAGTTATGAAATTCTGCCTCTTCACTTCTTTTATCTCTTTCACTATCTCCTTCTCTGTTAAGTTTTTCTGAATTATTTTATCATCCTGTTGGGAGTGCTTGCGCCGCCCCTGTTCTCTTGTTGATTCCACCTGTTCATGGTAGTGAAGAAGGCCAATTAAAATGTTTTGTTATATACGTCAGTTTCTGTGTTCTTCTGAAACGAACTGATCTAATCACAGAAACCAGAGAGAGTAGAATTGATGAACGGTCTAACCTGAGAGAGTAATCGGGAAAGGAATTGCAGATCGTTGCCGCCGGAGCTCCGGTGAGAGCCGGTTCTGTTGTTTTTCTCTTCCATCAACCTTCGAATCGCAAGGCTGATGAGCTCCATCTCCTCCGCCGCCGCTTCCGCCATCCAATGGTTTTCTTTACCAATTTTATTTTCTGCCTCTCCACCCTCCCCTCTCCACTTCCTCCGGCAGCATAGTCATCTGGTTTTCCTAGTGGAACGTTCTCCAATTGCTCTTTGACACGTGGTGGCTTTCGAATGGTTTGTTGTCAATCACTCCCTTTGTTTTTTTTATTCATATTGAATATAATTCCTTACTAATTTAACATAAAATAAATTAAAAAGTTTTCATAAACTCATTTATAATAAATTAAAATTTTACATGAAAATTTAAATTTGTGAACAGTTTTTAAAATTTAAGATTATGATTATAATATTTATTTAAATTTAAAATGTAATTTAATGAAATTGAAAGTTTATAATTAAAATGAATAGAATTTGGTTCATTTATTTTATACTTTTATCTAACTTGTTCATTTATTTTTAATATTTTATGTTGAGTAGTAATTACAAATTAAAGAGCTCAATAATCAAAAGAATTCGATATTAGTTGGCCTGTCAATGTCCTGGGTAAGGATTTAAAATTCAAATTTGGCTCATCCTTTGACTTATCTACGTCCCTTGTGACATATCTACATCTTTTTCTACATGGTCAAGTTATTCATTCTTTACTTTTAAGAGTAAATACTATCCCCTCATATTAACATGAGTTCCTTTACCTTCATTCACATGGATTCTAGAAAAATTTTCATGAGAACACCAACATAGAATTATTCCATACAAAACGTGCTTAAATTTGGACTTCCTATGATTGAGCCATCGAAATGAAGGTGGATAACGACTTTCAATTCTTTTGACCCTTTCTTAATCATCTTATCCAAAATTGCTCTTATTTGAATGTGGTATCCGTTCATTCATTTACTCGTTTATTATCCTTGTAGTCATTTTAAGACAATAGTAATACATTTTGTTATAAAATTTGTATGTAATAGTAGTTTTTAGTTATGGAAGTAATTGCTAAAACTCCGTTCATTTTGGAACAACCCATCTTAGCCATGAGACTAGTCGAATAACACTAAATTCAATTAAGACTGAACACAAAATTGTGTTAATTTGTTTATCGTTAAATAATAAAAATAACTCTAAACTTTCATAAGTTTTAATAATACTTATAAACTTCTAAAAAAAATTTAAAAAGCTTGCACGGTTTTGGATGGAAACCATTAGTATTTGGTTTCAAAAATACTTTTGAAGTATTTCAAAAATATATAGAATATTTTTAAAAAATTCAACATTTCTTTTAGGTCAAAA